AAATATATATATATATAAAAAAAGGAGAAGAATAAACCCATCTATTCACCTTGTTAATCTTGACGAACCCTCGGTTTGTTTCAGGATCTGTCTCTATGATGAATGTGTTGTTTGGATCTCCTTCCTTCACTTGGTAGATGATGTAGGAGCTCCCTGTCCTAGCGGGAGACTTTCTGCAACAGTCACATTGTGATACTGAGGAGAGAGAGATTGTTGAAACATGACACACCGAGCACCATCTGCGGATAAAAACTTAAGCGCTACAACAAGCTTGTGACCCACGAGCACGTATGTATTTCAACGCACAGCAGCCATGTGAGGGAGGGAAGTGGTGGGTGCATTTCACAGCAGAGATGTAACCAGGTTAGAGAGATGTACGAAAGCATTAGTGAAGTGCCTTGCAGCAGTAGAGGTGAGCTACCTCGCTGCCCAGGGGAACCCAGAGATGCAAGATGGGCACTACACCCTCTGCAAAGTTGCTATATCCCCCATTTTAGCCATACATTTATCAAAGGTGATGGGATTTCTGTCAGTGGGTGATCTACTAGTATAGCAGCAGTCCCAGACCCTCTGGAGGAGCTTTTACCTCCTCTGTTGAAACTACTCCACGTACATGCAATGCTTACAGCAGTAGGGACAACACCTAGGTCTCCTCTGTACCCAGTGAGCATCCTAGCCACTGACTGTTAAATATTTAATTGCTCCATGCAGCATAGGCCATTGCAACATTAGCAGCCCAGCTCTATTTACTCTGTTTGATGTGTGCCCTGACCCAGCAATCTCATCTTGAGACCAGGTCCTGGACTGAGACCTTGAGGTGAGAAAGTCAACAGCCTGCTATTTAGGCACACAGTCGGCATGTGTCTAAGCTCCCCTTATCATCAACAGGGAGCTGGGCAATGCTGTCAGCAAAGCCCAAAAACCAACACAGCTTCCCCAAGAGAATGTCACCTGATGAGCTAGACAGCTTTCCTGAGCCCACCACCTGCATTGCCTACAAGTATGGTGGGAGCTTAGAAACTTAAATGTAGACACTCCAGCCACTGCAGTGTCTGCAGGGAGGCTTGGGCCAGCAGGCAGAAGTCACGGAAGGTCTCTCTGCCAGATGCCAGCACCTCCGCCAGATGAAGACGCAAGAGCCTGGTACCCATTCCTGAACGAAGGGCAGCAAGTATGCATTTAGGCATGGATCACTGGATCACTGGACCACTGTTTCTGGTTAAAGAAAATACAGCCTTTGATTTCCATTCACCCTCTGACTTTTCTGTATACATTAATACTATGTTTGGAAGGGTACTTGGGAGATGTTAGCTTTTTTCCATTTAGCTATTTTAATCAATTTTAAAGCCTTTTCTTCCTTCTTTCCCTCCAGAACTTACATTTCTGGAGTAAACTGCTTTAGTAGAATAATTTCTTTCTGTACACACAGTTTTCCACTGAGAAAATTATCTTACATTTCTGGAGTAAACTGCTTTAGTAGAATAATTTCTTTCTGTACACACAGTTTTCCACTGAGCAAATTATCTTACATTTCTGGATTAACTATGAGTCAGTCCCACTGTCTACTGTCTAGATAGACCTTATATGCAGGCTTTGCAGCAATATCTTGCCTTTTTTTTCACTAGTGGATTGCCCTGTTACTTGTTCTGTAAATGGTTGGTTTCCCATTGACATTCTATAGACATAGAATGTATGCTCAAACATACGTTTTTATCAAAAATTATTGGGACATCAAAAATGGTGTTAGAAATACTCACATCTGATTTTTCAAAGATGGGAATCTGATCATTGATGTCGATGACATGTATTTGCACATCACAGATTGTTTCGAATACTGCATGGAAAAAGAACAAACAACATCATGGCAACCCTTCTGCTGAAAATAATTTTCCTCCAAAAGGGTTCACTGTGAGCAAAAGTGAATGCTGCCAAATCACCCAATCCAAGCAAAGCCCCACTGATGTAAGAAGCACTTGATCTCCAATATCTCGTAGTCAGTGAGAACCTCACCCTCTATCTTACTATGCACCTTTCCTATTTCTTCAGCCTGTTTCATTTAATTTCCCTCACTTTTTTTTAACCATATCCCTTTACCAGGATGATGATAGCTATGAATTGTGTTAGCTTTCTAAGTATCACTTCTGCATGTCAAAAAATAAGCCCCAGCTTGTTATGCTACCTTGTCCTCTTAGTGGACCATCAGGCAGCACGCTCATTTTCATTATAGCCAGACGTAAACTTCAGATCTGTGTAAATCTAAGCATTACGGGCACCCATAGCAATGTGGGTTTGTGATTTTAAAAGTATATACTCTGTCTGGTCGTGTGCTATTCATATGTAGCTGGATTTTAGTGTTTTACGGACATGTTTTATGAGCTGAAAGTTAAGGAATATTGTAAACAAAACTGGATGGAATTCAAATAAACATCCAAAACAAATCACCAGCTTTTCCCCCTGCAAGGTTTTCATATCATCTGCCTAAGTGATGCTATTTCATTTATAGACATGTCACACTGCTTTCTTTACATGCCAGTTCCTCCATCCACAAGTTTTGCCTGACTATAAGGACCACAGCACAAAGCTTTAAGCTTTAGTATGGAGTTTGGTTTCCTTTCCATTCAGTGAACCACAAAGGACTCTTGGGAACTTACATAATGGACAAGATTATTTTTGAAGATTAATTTCAGCTCTTAATCTTTTAAAATACATTATCTGGATTCTCTGATTAGCTGTGTTTAATTTCTTGATTTTTTTTCAGTGAGTCCCCTTGAAAGATTTTGGGGGAAAACCACAATCATGATCTCTTCATTTTTTTTCCCCTGTGGAAGGAAATCTCTTACTGGAGTACTTGTGAACAAGCTTCCCAGTTTATCCACACTCTGCCCTAGAGCTGGTTTCCTTCCATACATGCATTATGAATCATGATTAATTTCTCTGCATCTCGAGAGCAATGCCAGAGCAAGCCAGCTCCCAGAGCTGCTGCTGCTTCCAGCGAATCCTCTAGGTCTCCTCTCATCCCTTGGACACCAAGCACTGGGGATGCCAGCGTGAACAAAATTATTCCAATGTATAACAGCAGGCTTTACATACCTGCATCTGTCACCAGCACCTTCAAGGAATAGTTGGATGCAATGCGCTTGTTTAACGAACGGCTAGGTAACTGCAAAGTCCCAGTGTCTTGCTGAATAAAGAACAGATTATCTGCAGGAACAGCAGGAACCTGACTTTTGATTTTGAACTGCAGACGAGAGTTAAGGGTGTCCTTCTCATCCATGTCTGTAGCAAACAGGGTGCCAATATTACTTCCTGTGGCAGAGGAGAGACCGGAGTCAGTCAGATAATGCAGTGGTCCTATTTCTCCACAGAGGTACACGCTGACAACAGTGATACCAATGCAAAGAGTAGAGGGGCAATAAAAATACAACTGCGTGGAAAACACTTCAACGGACGCAATCATTTGACTTCTGGGAGTTTTTCCTTTAGCATCCCAACCAGCTCTTTTAGGCTTGGGGCAGTCCAAAAGGACTGGGCTACGTGTTTTGATCAGAAGAAGCGACTGTGACAACAGACACTTTAGCCTTGAAACCAAATAACCGATGTGAAGACTTAGGGACAAATTTCGGTAACGGTCCATTGAAGTCAAAGGCATTATGCTGGAAGAGCATCTGGATGAGGGAAAATGGGTTAATGCCACTTTTAGAGCAGTATTTCTTGTATTAGTAATAAAATGGGTGTTTTTCTTTTTATGTTCTAAGCAGTTGTCCAAAACTGTGGTTGTGCGAAAATGCAATTTTACGTTTTAAATGGAACAGCATTTTTTAAGTAGAGGTCTTGGGTCTGTCCTTCTCAGGTTATTTAAATCCTTTCCACATGAATTATTGAAGTGAAAACAACAGAGCGATATGCACAGGAAAACATTTCTGTAGGAGAGCTACATTTTAGTCTTTGAGATCAGAATTTCTAGCTTTATTTGCACACAGCTGGAAACAGTAACAGGACCAGAATAATGTGTATAAATGAGTAGAAGCTGTTTTCTTACCTCCACCTTCATTTTCTTGAACTTCAATTACAGTGAGGGCCTGCTGGCACACAGGGGGATTGTCATTAATGTCTTCCACAATAACATGAATGTGCAGAGGCTTGTCCACCAGTTCTCCTGTATTATCTTTTGTGACCGCAAAGAAAGCATACTGCAATAAGAATATTGAGATTAGATGTGTTGAATGTCCACTGTGACAATATTTTGCATTTAAATGTGTAACTATGGGAGCATTCCATGCAAATGAAATAGCCTTTCATATGTTTGTTCAGTACTTTCATTCTGTTTAATTCAGAACTCTTCCATCACACCTTAGTGCCTGAGGTCTTTCTCAAAAGAATTTAAAAGTCCTGAATACTTCACTGTGCTCTGAACTTGCTCTTGTAAAAATTCAAGAAAAGCAGGAATATCTCATTTCTGTCACTTTGCAAATTCATCTGTCACATACAGAGATAGGATTCCTCCAGCATATCTGATCCCTGGCCTATTCTGTGCCCAAATTTCCTCCAAGAACAAAAGGGGACAGAGGGTTTTCTGTCTAAAAGACCCCCAGATGGGGAACTTCAGAGTAACTTTATGGTTGCAACTGGAAGTTAAAAGTTAAACTCTGCTTCTGCTGTGGAGAGATCCCTGGGGCCCCTGAGATCTGGAGTAGATCTGAAACATCCAAATCTCCTGCCCTCCACAAATGCCACTGCCTACCTCTTGCTCATGCACCTACAACCCTGCCATGGTTGATCCCTGTTGTACGTTATACACACGCTGTGGGCAGTGATTGCTACTGCCGGGCCCATGGAGAAGTGGTGTAGGGTACCAAACTGAAGGCAGTTTACAGTGTAGTGGATGAATGTGCTTTCATATCTGTCAAGTCATTCTCAAACAGAAATGACAAGTAATAAAGCTTTTATTTCTTTTTTTCCCCCTCTGTCCTTTTTAGTGAGCTTTCTCGTATTTACTCCCACACCAATAATCAGCTTCCTGCTATGGTCTCTCCCACCAGTGAGGTTTTATGTGTTTACTTACAGCATCCTTTTCTTCTCTGTCCAATGGTTCAGTTACATAAATAACCCCATTCTGATCGATGGAAAATGGGAGCCTGGGCAGCTTTTCTTTTTCTAAAAGGTCATAAATTACATCTGGCTCATTTGAGTGCACCTAAAAACACAAAAATAAGTCAGGATAGGAAGTCAGAAGCGTAGACTGAGATTTAACAGGGATCATTTCTGGACCACAAACAGAAAAGGTTGCATTCTTGTTAGCTTCATAATCCAGAAAATTAACAGTTTGGCAGGCTCTTGGGACGAGCTGCACAAAACCAGACTGATAATCCACCTCTGCTCTCTGAATTGTTGTGGTGAAGCCATTTTACCTCAGTTTCTCCAGCTGGGCTATGACACTTACCTTTTTATGGAAGGGTTTTGGGATGTGGAGCTAAACGGTGATACATGAGAAGAAAGCATTATATGTATTTGAATGTCTTGACACTAATTTATTCCATCTCCTTACACTGTCTATTCCTACCTATTGTTTTGGTTTATCTAATTCAGAGATGTGGAACAACAAAACAAATATCCAGTACCTATCTGCACGTATGTGTGTGCATGCTCTTTACATGCATCAAAGTCTGTGATGAAGGATCTTTAGTGGGGTGCTTCAGATTTAAAATGAAATGCAGTAAACAGACTGCCAAATTAATGAAAGAGTCAGTATTGCTGTTTATGCTTTATACTATATAACAGCAACTGCATTTCATTTTCCCCTAGGCAGAATCAACATGTCACTGGCTGCCACGTGAAATTTATATACAAGTGACTCCAGAATGGGAGCACCGTTGCCTGTTAGTTTTTCTTCCACCTGTTTTCACTCTGGACTTCCTTGGGCTGTCACTAAGGCCGGTGAGGCCAGGGAATAGCACCGAGTCAGTTACTCTTGCAAACAGGATCCGAGGAATTCTGCCATGTCCACGGAATGACGGCATTGGGGGTGTCAGTGCCAAGGCATTTTTCAAAGCCAAACATTTCTGAAAGGCTGCAGGTCTGTTAGTTAATATTTACTGATGTATACATCGCTATCGGTCTGCAGTTATCGGCAAAATATTTTGCGTTTGCACTATGAAAAGAGGAATACGGTGGGAGTGCAGGACACTGCAGGAGGGCATTTCAGTCCTTCCTAGGTACTTTTGATATAGCACGTGTGCTGCATCACACAAAACTGGTCATAGCAGATGGCCCGGAGTGTGGGGGACAACCACAGCAGGGTTGCAGTGGAGCTGGTCCCCTGCCAGGTTCTTCTGCAGATCGAAGAAGCTAACCTCAAAATAACCTTCATCAGGTTAGCTCTTGGTTTGCCCAAAGCCTGGAAGGCCCATGGTGTTAGAGCGAGTCTGGAAGCGGTCAAAGAAACCCATCGGGAGAGAAGAGCAGCACCTTCGCAGAGGCACCCAACTGCCACATGTGTGTCTGGGAGCTCCCTTGGGGTGTCTCATGAGCTTTATCCTTCATATTCTGCCAAATAGCCTTGTAAAGCACCCTTTTTCTTCCAGTCATTGCGGTGTAACCAAATTCTCCAAATTTTTCCTCTATCCATGGGATATTCTCACACAGAGGCAGTGCTAACAGCCTCTCCAAACTGAAGGGTAAAGTCCAGTCACTCTAATGTTTGTATTGACTGTATCTCAGTCATCTCCAAACCATTAACTTTCATGCTAACAATAAGTTAATGAGACCTGCGCTAAAGATCATTTCCAAAGGATACCATACAAAAAATAACAGGAATGTGCCAAAGTCCTTCTGAAGAGCCTGGTATTGAATGCCGTGGGAACACCTTCACAGTCAGCTGGGAGAAAACGATTCTGTGGCATCAAGGAGAGGTGCAGGGAGCGCAGCAAAGGGCCCTACCTGGCTGATGTTGACAGGGTGGACCTGGGTTGAGTTTTCTTGGATGCGGATGGTGGGGGGAGCTTTCCACAGGCTCTCCTTCACAGTGATGATCACATCGGCGCTGCTGGTGAAAGCATTCGTTGTCGTCCCTGCCATGTCCTTCACGGTGACGACGAGCGTGAAGGTGTCCTGCTTTTGAGGATCTAAGTAATAAGAGCCTAGAGACAGAGCAAAGAGCCAAGTGAAATGAAGCAGAGGCTGTGGAGATGGTTCATCTGCCCATTGCCTCCTACATGCACCATGCTGCTTCATCTGCTCCAGGCTCACTCCTTAGATGGGCCTCTGTGCCAAATCTCAGCAAGCCATTTCCTCTGGCTTATCTGAATGATGCAGCACAGCATCATGTGGACGTAATCGTATGAGACCTCTGTGCTGTGGTTTCATGTTGTGCAGATGCATCACTGAACAGCCCTCACTCCAGTTAGGCACTTGTTCAGCCCAGCAGAAGAGACAGGGTTTTTAAATCATTGCAGTTTGGTTGGGATCATGTGGCCAGCTGAGTTTTCTCTGCATTTTTCATGTCACTGATTTTTGTTTTCTAGATTTCAAGGAAGAGAATTAGTCCCAAGATATGCCTCAGCGTAATCCTGAGGGCCAAAGGATCTACCTCTCTTCTTACTGTACTTTTAGATCCCAATCTCCATTTCTGCTAACTTCCCTTGAATTTGGTGGGACACAAACAAAGTTCCCCAAAACCAGGGCCTCAGTGGAGTATGTCCCACTGACTACATTTATTCAGAATTTAACATCAGGGCTGTGGTGTTGTTTTGTTCCTAGGTACACCCAAGAACTCATGCTTGCTTTTTGACAAACAAGAATCTTTTTACATACCCGTCTTACTCGGTGAGATTGCTCCAGTTACACTATCGATCTGGAAAAGCATTTCTGTATAAGGGTTGGGAAAATGGTGGAGAATGCTGTACATCAGCTGTGCATGGGGAGTTGTAGGATCATCGCGGTCCGTGGCGTGGACGTACATGAAGGGTTTGCCTGTTCAGATTAGAGAAGAAAGAGTGGTAAGAGGAGACTGAAACCTCAACACATAGTCCATTCGAGCAGAGCTCTCAAGCCAGGAAGGTAGCTTATGAGGAGCTGCAGTTGTTTCATAATGCATTTTTCATGCTAAGTCGTGCTTCTGTGTGGAGGTTACATTGCCTGTGTACCATCCCACAGGTCCTGCCTCCACCAGCTCTGCTTAGTAGGATCACAACAGGTGTGAAGAAGGTGATGAAGAAGGTGACAGAGCTAACTCGGAGAGCTATCTACCACCCAAGAGTGCCTACACCCAGAATGTAGCTCACTGGTATCTCTCTTTAAGGCCACTTTGCAGTCCTTATACAAATCAGTTCAACCCAAAGCAGCTTGAGAAAAATATCCTACAGCTGTGACACAGTTATAATTAAAGAAACAATCATACAGTGAAAACAAATATGGAAATGCATGGTAACGTAAGTGAATTTTTGCCTTGTGATCACCAATGCAACATTCAAAATCTTTTTGACTTGGATGCGGTTGAATACAGTAAAATATTGCAGAATGGTTTTCTGACCCCATGGAGTTTTATATGTGTATTCTTTAGGGGAAGTTTCTTCCTGAGTCCATAGTCACAGTGATAACAGCTGGCTGAGTCCTTTGTTTCATTTCCAAGATGTGCGTCTCGAAAATTTCTGGACTGGATCACCGCAATCCATAATCTAAGGCTCTCTCCTAAATACCACGGATCAGCCCATGTTCTGAGAAACATCAGTCGCAGTAAACACATACCCCGCATCTACACTGGCATTTTATTTCATGATGTGTAAAGACTTACATATTCTTAGCATTCTCTTTCTGTATAGTTTTTGGTAACTTTTAAACTTTAAACTCCTTCTAGCATAGGGGTTCTTTTCAGTGCAATGGTGAGGGCAGCAATATTTGCCTATTAAGTGATACTCACAAAGCAACAAGTACTGTGAAATATTTTTGATTACACTCATCCCTTTACACCACATAGTGGTCATCTCTTTGCCCTTTCATTATATTATACATGCTGGTATCCTTATTTTGTACAACCTTGTGGGTAGGAAAACTGATCTTTTTTCAGCTTGTTGAAGTATAGCACCCACTTTATCTTCCTGTTTAACTAATCTACCTACCTTCCTGTTAACTATAATATTTAATTATTATGATGATTACCTGGACGGGAGTTCTGCCTCACTACTCCAGTGTACTTCGTCTGGTCAAATTCTGGTGGGTTGTCATTGATATCCTCCACATGTATTGTAACAGTGTATGGACCTTTCACTATGTTTCCCTTTTCATCCAGACTTTCCACCTTGATTTGGAAAAAGAAGGAACAGCAAAGAAATATTTTCAAGTAGATAAATTAAGAGACATAAATGAACATCAGGATGTCAAATTCCAAGTCATTCTTACTGTGATGAAAATCTGGTGAGAGCCATCACTGGGTGGTTCCATCTACAAGGACAAATTTACCACGGTAGCTCACTGACAATAATTCGCCACAGCACATAATGCCAACAACACAAAATAACCTGCTCCTGCTTCTGATGACACTTTTCGGAGGGCAATTTCTCACTTCCAGTCTCAGCAGACTACTTGTGTTCTTGCACAGCTTAGACCTCATACTTTTCTTTAATGGAAATAGATACTCTCTTACTCTCTGAAGAACAAGGAGAAAACCCAACATGATATAGCAGACTCAAGTGTGCTATTTTAAATATCAACCAGAAAAATAGGCTGATCTAAGGGTTTGTAAAGAAAACTTAATTCTTAGTTCTGATTACGTTTTTGTTCCAAACAATTTGGCTTCTTATTTTTCAGCCTTCTTTGACTTTAAAGCACCAAGTATATATTATGTCTGTCAGACTTTATTTTGTTTGCACATAATAGATCAAATCATGATTATTTAAGCCAAACCAAGTATCATTTTTCAGTTCTGTCATCACTTTTTCTTGTCTGTAAAGGATTCCCATGTTTAGGGTTAACAACTTCTGGGGCTAGAAAATTGTCCTCTCTAATAGCAATCCAAGGGTGCTTTAGAGCTGAGAACATGAAACCATTAACCCTGAAGTGCTAGACTTTAGAAAGATAGCTAAGGCTAGCTAAAACATCATCATGTACTTTGTCTGTTGAGATACTGATCCTCTCATGATCATCTCCTTCTCAGTTGCTAGTGACTCAGAAAAAGACAATACCATTTTTGACAGAGTAAGAGCACAAGGCTATACTGAGACCAAAAGATCGCCTACCCGCTGTCGTCCCACTCCCAACAGTGTTTACGATGAGATCCTTATGAAAAGAGTATAATAGCAGGACAAGCACACAATGCTCTTTCCTCTAACAGCCTCCGACATCTGCCAAACAGCTTTCTGCTGTTATCTAACAGAGGTTAGATCTGTGCTTCTGTGTCTAAATGTCATTTATTCACACCATTTGTCACTAGATAGATTATAATCTTCCTAAGTAGATTACAACGGTTTATTTTCCCATCCCAGCCATGGAATCCACCCTATCAGTCTTCAGGGATAACAAGCGAATCTCATTCATGGGGCCAGATTTCACGTCCAGTCAAGTGTCCTCCTCATATTAGGAGAATTAAAGGATTGGTGTTGGCATCAGGGTAATTTTTGTTTTCTCAACATAACCTTCCTGTGCTAAGGAGCGTTTTCCTGTGCAAAGTCTTTCAGAACTATAAAACCATGCGTCTTTCAGCAAAACTCAATATTAAAAATTAAAAGCTGTCTGTAAACATAGACAAAAGAAAGAATTTGAAATTTCAACAGTTTTCCATTAATTTCAGGTTTACCAAAAAAGGGTGAGTATGAATAACCCTCCCTTCCTATTTTTCATTGAGTTTTTACCTGCAGCCTGTGCACTGCTTTGGTCTCCCAGTCCAGAGACCCACTGAGATACAGGATGCCTGTCCTTGGCACAATGTCAATTATTCCATCTTTTTCACCAGTCGCTCTGAAACTCACAGCAGGTGGCTCAGATGTGAACTAGAATGGGGAAAAATCAGAGGGAAAACCATCCTTTTTTCAGCATTTTCACCATAGTCGAAGTAATTTTGTGCTTTTGTGTCTTTTAAAATCTATTGCCAACAGTGTGTTTGGCTGGGGGAAAGATATTCCAAGAGCCTGCTCAAACAAATCTGCTCTTTTCTGATCCTCAACAGAGGAGTTTTCACATTATTTCCTGAATGCTGCAGGAAATCCCAACTGTGGTTTCTTTCCAAACCAAACGTCTGCTTAGGACAGGGCTTTGTCTGAGCACGGGAATGGAAAAAAATGACACACATCCTCCATTTGCCTGGGAGCTGGATCTGTCCTTCTGTGGTTATGGCTTTGGGAAGAAAACCTCAGAGCTGAAGGAAAATGATGACACAAGTTACATGGAAACCCATTCTTTAGGAATGCTGATTTTATTAATCCCTGTCTTAGGATATCCTCTTAAAATGTGTTTGAGAGAAGGGGTTGTCTCCTGCTTTTTATATGTAGACTCTTGAATTCCCAGATAGAGGAAGTCAAAGTTAATTTCAGATTCTCTCGGGGGACTGTTCTTCCCACCAGCGCAGATGACAACACTGCCTGTGAGGTCAGTGTGTGCAAACTATGGGGTTTTTGACCGGAGTGGATACCAAGAGACACTTGATTACCTGGTAAATGAAGCGCACTCCCCCTCCCTCTGGAACAGAGAAATTCATGTCCGTCAGAGGCCCGGTTACATGCAAGTCCCCCAAATCCTGGCACATAGCCTGTGAGAGAGAGAGAAAGGGATGGAGGAAAGCAGCTGAGGGGTGTCTGCTGTCACCACGCACAAACAGCAGCTCTCCACCACTGAGCCTCTTGCAAGTTATTTTGCTGTAGTATAACGGAGGAGACTCTTGCTAGTTTGCACTGAGCATCTCTGGGTTTTTTAGCGCACATCCATTTTTAAAAGCAGTGTTATTTATTAATTAATTTGAAAACTAACACCTGGGCCCTGCTCTTTTCTAACCACTACATAATTAAATGAGATTTGATCTACCTTCAAGAGCAAATAGAAGCACCAAAGAGCTGAGGGTAGACTGAGAGCAAGAGGAAATTCATAAAAGCATTTCTGGATCATGCCTGAGTTCCCAGCAGGACCAGCCACATCCCATCCCACGCCCCACAAGTCTGTTGGGAGACCAATGCCACACCTGGGGATGGGGAGGAATTGGGGCTGCACCCCTTGTAATTTCCTCAGTAAATCCAAACCTTTTTTGTAAGGGAAAAAGGTGGACCTCCCCAGGTCCCCTACCCCACCACCCCCAGTGCCCTGGCGATCTGGGCAAGCTGCTCGGGCCCTGTGCTTTCACATCAGTTGCATGTGAGTGCAAACCACAGCCAGAGCAAACACATCCTGCTGATCTTTGGCTTCTACCTCACGGCAAAAATGCAAGTCTGTCTCGGCCTCTGTTTTCTTCCTAATGGCTGGCAATGCCTTCACATGGTGTTTTTTCTGGCAAATTTTTGATGAGTTTTATATGAATTTTATAAACCCCCCCTCCCTAGTGCCCAAAGATGTCTGGACACACTCCTGCCCTAATGTTTCAGGGCTGTTCTTGCTTTCAAATAAGAAAAGCAAAGTAAAAATCAGCCTCCTAGAGCAGCCCTTGCACACAAGAGAATTCGGACTACGGTTCGGATAATCTACCTGTTTCTCCAAAGGCAAGACCAAACTCCCCTGAATGTACACTCTTCTGTCCCTGTCACTAAAGTCTTGCCAATGCTGAGGAGCTGCCTGCCGGAATTAGGGCTTCATCATTTGACTGCACAGGTAAAAATCCCTTTCTTCTGGTGTAAAAATGACTTTATTCTGCTTTATAGATTCGGAGTGCTATTGCCACCCTGTCCATCACTCTATGGAGTCAGGCTCCATCAGTGCATGTTCTCTGCTTGCATGACTTTTCCCCTGGATTTGGTCCTATTGCTGCTGGGACAGCTATTCGGTCTCTCACAGAAAAACACAGCTTACATATTACCAAGGGAAAACTTAATTCTGGTTATGACAAAAACATAGCTAAGTTCAGCGCAATTTACCCTAAAGCGTTGCTCTGTGTGTGTGTCACAAGTGGTGTTTGAATAACACCAGATTCTGCTTAATAATAGCCAGAGATGCTGCCCTCCTCGCCTACAAGGGTTTGTGACTCTTTTTGCAAACAGGAAAACTAGAATATTGTGAGAACTGGGGAAGGAGGGGGAGGGATGCTAGTGAAGACTAGTGACAGTAGAAAAATATCCAAAAAAGCCATGCAATAGGTATGCATAGCAGGAAAGTTTGAATAACACCAGATTCTGCTTAATAATAGCCAGAGATGCTGCCCTCCTCGCCTACAAGGGTTTGTGACTCTTTTTGCAAACAGGAAAACTAGAATATTGTGAGAACTGGGGAAGGAGGGGGAGGGATGCTAGTGAAGACTAGTGACAGTAGAAAAATATCCAAAAAAGCCATGCAATAGGTATGCATAGCAGGAAAGAGTATAAATGCTGATTTCTGGCCTCTGCCAGGGACAAGATAGCAGGACCCTGGATCTGACCCGAGACAGCTGTTCCTGTGTCGCAATGGTGGGCACAACCTGGCTCCTGGAGGTTTTTCCCAGGGCCATTTTGTGGAGGGGTTTTGCTTGGTCGTGTTCCTCACCATGGAGGAACAAAGGCTGACGCTATAAAACCCAACAGGTTCAAAGTGCAGGCTTGAAGCAAGTAAGAGCTATCTCTTCCTGTCAATTAAAATTACTTTATGTGGACCATAAATATATCCAAACATATGTCGACAGCATGAAAGACTACTCAGGGGCCTGAAGGGGAAATAAGGCTTTCTCCTTGGCCCGTGTCTGGCTAACATCCCTTTTGAAGGTGGCTGTAATGGCTATGGAGTGGCTTCATGGGGGTCGGCGCTGCCATGGGCAGCAACTCTTGAAATGGGAAGGAAAAAGAAGGTACTCACTACTGCACATCAACCCCACTCCCAGGGTCTTCATATTCTGAGGAATTTTTTTTGTAGACTTGAATTTGACTCATTTTTTAATCTTATCTGTTAATTTCAATTGTAAAGTAGAAGCCACCACTGTAGCCTTTACAGATATCAGTAAATCTATTGAATTTAATAGATGGGGTCCATAAATAGCGTAATTAATACATTTCCATTCCAGAAAATCCTCTGAAAAGGGATTCACACAGATGGAATAATGAGGATAAATAATTAATATGCATGGTTTAAACTATGTGCCATTAAATGTCTTAGAATACATTTAATATGTCAGCACATGTATGGATTATAGTACACATGAACACACGACACAGATGTCTTCACTGTTTGGTGATTGTGTTTTTAAATCTTTTCTAGCGTGAAATCCACTTACTGAAAAAAGTAATATCTAAGGAGGAACTACAAGAGGCAAAATAGATAAATTGGTTTCTTCTCAGATTTTTAAAGGTTTTTTTCCTAATTATTGACACGTCTTCTTAACTTTTGGCCATGGGGTCACACACGTGTCGGGGCCGCACTCCCACACCCAGAGTTACAGCCGCTCTGCTCTGCGGGCACACGCTGCCAGCCTGACCGGCAGACTGGGACGCCCCACGGGTTAGAGCTCAGAGGCTCGCAGGCAACCTTTGCCGTTTGCTCCCAGATAAACAAAGGAAAAGCTGTAACTCACCGAGTGAATGACGAGCAGAAATTGAAGTCCACGCAGCTTAAACATGCTGGAATATGCTTTGCTTCAGCTCCTGCAAAGAAGAGGTGATAGTCACTGTAACCCCATAGAGCTGGCCCAATTCGCGAACAAAGGCTACGGCTAAGCTTTCCCCAGGCTGTAGGGAGAGAGCAGCCGAGGAGTGAGCCCTGAAGGACCAGGCGCAGCTCTGCCCATGGGAGGTGAGACCGCTGGCGTCACCGGGCGGGCCAGGAAGGTCGTGCCCGTCAGGTCCGTCCCCAATGGTGCAGGAGGTGCCACATGCTGTGAAAGCCTCAAACAGCTGTCAGAGGTTGAGGCTGGCGCAAAACTTCAAGCCACGCAACCTCACCGTTCTATGTCGCGCAAGCCCCATTTTCATTTCTGCTTTACTGAAGGCAACAACACATTCACAGGAAACACTGTAACCACAAGAAGATGAAGGTCTTGCAGTGGCCATTCTGTGGCCCATGTCTTCCGTTCACAAAAAACAACTGTTCAGTGCATCTTGCAGAGGCAGAGGAAGCCGGGGGTGTCTGCACCCCTCAAAACAACACGGCTACTGGAAACGAAATTTCCAAGTCCAAGGAGTACTGCCAGCCTCGAATTTCAAAAAAATCCTGAGCACACACTGCAGTGACTTGTGTTACATCTTCCTGGAAACTAGACGAGTTCCTCAAAAGTGAAATCTTGCTTTCTCACTACTTCTAGATTTTAACAAAAAAGGACAAGGCCGGTTCTGAAGGCAGGTGAAGCTGGCGAACAGTGCTGCCATCTTCAGTGGTGCTCCATGTTACTTGGCTCACACCTATAGGTATCCTTCAGCCACCACAGCTCTGTCCCATGGAGGCTCCCAAGGAGAAGACGACAGTGTGGAGGCACAGCTCCCTCCAGATGCCTTCCCATCACGCCTTTTTTTTCCCCCTCCTTTTCTTTCCTCAATGGCTGACCAAAAAGGGGACCTGTAAATATAGAAACTTCTGCCCACACTGCTATTGTCTCCAGCACTCATTTTAGGACCTGCCACAGGATTTTATCTTGCAAATCCCATTCTGAGCAGGGTCTTACTGTGTGTGCAATTACACCCTTTGAAATTACTGGGCTCTTTCCTTGGGCAGGAGCTAGCTGCCTTGGTACTGGAAGAAAATAATTTTTCCGTCCTTTGAAACCAGAGGTGATCAGGAAAATAATTAAATTTGCCAGGAAACAAGGGCTGAAGGTGAACCCCCTGTAGGTGCCTGCAGCTGGAGGAGCTGGGGCTTGGCACAGGCAAGACAGAAGGGTAGAGAAGACACTTTGAACCTCCTGAGAAGGCACTTTGAACCAAGACCGTTGCTGATATTTCAGTTAGTCGACAGAAATTTGTTCAGTTCCGCTGTCTGACAGCCTCTCCGCTCCCCTCCTCCTGGTCTCTTCTGAATATATTGGCCAGTTTCAGCCGCACTTAGTAGCAGGGTGGAAACTTCAAAAAACTAATTCCTTATTAATTTGGGGTGGCAGGTGGGACAGAGGGCCCAAAGGCATGCCCTGCCCCGAGGGTAAGGCCACAGTGTGTGCCCCCGGGGAGGCATGGCTGTACGTGCCCCTCGGCCAGCCGGCGGTGGAGGGACACCAGGGAGCTAGAAGTCCTGGGGCGAGGCCACCAAGAGGTGAGGAAAAAGGGTATGGTGTGGTCTGGGGATACCACCGTCTGGATTCAGGGGAAAGAGAAGGAGCAAGACCTACTATGGTGAGGAGAAAATTTAAGGAAGGGACACGTCCAGCCTTAGTGTAAGGGACAGAAAATGCTGGAAAATGTGCTCCTTCACGTGGCTGTCCGACTGCGCTGTGTCTCGGCCAGGTGTCTCTGTCCAGATCCAACTACGAAACACAGCAGTGGAAATAGAGCCATTTCGTAGATTGCATGATAAGTGCCTTTGCTGTTCCCTTCTCTTTGAATATAAATACCATTCCTTAATGTCGTGCCATTTGCGGTGCCTATTGCAAGGCCAGGATGAGTGGCTTGATCAGCCCTCGAACATTCATTTTTGCCTGGAAGCTGCTACCAAGTCTCATGAAGCATTGCATTGCCAAGGACCAAAGCCCCAAAATACATACTCCTCTGTCACTCAGAACAGAGTTTCAGCATATATAAACTCATACAAAAGTTTTCAATAATAGGCAGTTTCAGGATTACAGTAGGATCAGCTTAACTAAAAGCAGCCTGAGATCTGGCTGAGGACTGTAGCCATATTTTCCCCTCCATTTCTTAGTTTCTTCTCAGTGCTATATCCTTAATAATCCCTTATGGTTCCCCTGACTGAACAGAAATCTCGAGGATAACCAACACAAAAATATCCCAGCAACTTTCAATAATAAACATTCAGAGAACAAAGAATATTCCCGGAGGTTAAAGATCAGTAACAATCACAAGTATTTGGTTCCATGAAAAAAAAAATGTTGATTTTCTTTAAATGATTGATTTCAGATGTTCGAATTCAGTAAAGAGAAAACAGAGGAAATTGATCCAAATGAAACACAAACCAGACTAAGCCTTAGCACAGCAGTCATCCATTTCACAAGGACAGCTGAGTTCCTAACGCTGCCAGAAAAGCCTTCAGCAAAACCCTCGCTTCGGCTTTTAAAATCTTTCCATGAAATGACAGTTAGATCATCCCTTACCTGTAACATGAAAAGCTTATTTTCCTCTAAAAATGCTTCTTTCTTTCAGCTGTGGGAATCACCTTTGCACAGGTTGGTAGTGTCCGTCTGTGCTTCTCCACACAGTTTATAGTTCCTCAGACTCGCCCTAGAGGTTCAGCGGCTCAAACATTAACAGCATGGAGAATTATTGATTCTTAACGACTAGGTGTGGTATGAAACGGCAGCCACGTAAGAAAGCAATGTAGCTCCGAGATAATGTACAGCCTTCTATATTTTTATGTCCTTTGGGACTATCTTTCTGAATTTTTTTTTTTGGTGGGGCTGTGAGAAAAGAACACGCGGGGCACCGGTTGGAGCTGCAGAGGGAAAGTGGTTCTTTCTGTAGGAGAGGAGGTGGAGAGGAGGAGGTATGGGCCTCAGGTGGAGATAACGTTTGCTACTTGCCTAGTTGCAGGGATAATTCCCATTCAGAAGACAAGAATTTGGACATAAAGGTTACTCGTTTTCACAGCAGACCTGTGCATGGGAAGGACCCAGCCTAGTTATGAGAGTCAGTCATCAACTCAGAAAGTGCAAATTCTGTCTGGGCTCTGCAACAAATTTACTTCGGGAAACGTTGAGCAAATCACTCTATTTACTCATTTCTCATCTCTTAATGGATGTAATCATTCCTTTCCCTCGTGTGTCATCTTTCACATCTGTCTGGGTTTTCAGCCTTTCAAGGGAACCAGTCCCTGCTAGTGTCTGCATTATAGAACCTCTAGTAAAGGTAATTGAAATCAACCGGACTGTAAACAAAATATATTTGGAAAAAACAGAAGTTTTTAAAAAATCATAATCCTTAAAATGTTATGCTTTCTGCTAACTCAGTTTTTAATATCATGCTTAATTTCAGAAGTTTTGAACAAGCTTATTTTATTCTCTCACAAAATGTTACTTTTCATCCAGGTTCTAACTTCTGCTTTCAGTTTCCTCAGTATGTTAGATTGCTCTTGAACGTGGTTAAATTATTTGTGCAGCGCATTAACTATTTTGCATCCAAAGAAAGAAGTGTTTCAAATTGCTTACAGCTGGAAGGCATACAATTCTGGGAAAGGAGAGTTTTCTGTTTGTGCTTCAGATCACACTTTTCCCTCAAAATCAGCATCTGTTTCTCCAAGAAAAAACCTCTAGACTGTGCTTTCAGCCTGCTTTCAAATACAACTGTTCTCCATTTGCTCACGCACTCAGAATGATTCGGACTTTCTCAAAGCTGCCTGCTAGCAGCGAGTTATCTTTAGAGCACAGCTCAAAGCCAACAGTTTCCATTAAAGCATTAGAACTCATTGTTAATGATTTCAAAATAAATACAATGAGGGGGAGGGAATTGAACTTTCTTGGAAATATGTTGACTTTAAGTGACTTACATGCAGATTAATTGTGTACTAGTTGGATATGAATGAGAAGTACTTTCAGCATAAAGTATAAATTTCAAAACAGCCAGAATTCATACTGCAATAACAAATTCACATAAACAAATTCTTAATGTCATTTTCAGCCCTCCTGTACATGACAAGTGCAGAATAACTCAAGTCGTTATGTCAGAAATAAGAGCCTCATAAACAAGTTAGGCGTTTATCTTTCAAATGCTAGAGTCTCTGCTTGGAAGTCCAATTATTAGGAAGAGCAGTGGGGTACTTGAAATACAAATTTAAAGTACCTAATATGCTTAATTGAATGCCTATACTTTTTAAAGTCACTGGAAGAGGTGAGCTCGCTCATCCCTAGCGTCTTTCTCTGGCTGAAATAATTCCCCAGCCGCAGAGCAACTGCTTACAGGTTGTAACCACACAGGAAAAAAAATCTCCCATGTCAAACACATTACAAAGTCCAGAAGCACTTAAGGCTTTACAACAGTCATAACACAGTGCCACAGATAAAATCACAAGAAGAAACTCAGCACTGAGACTGGTGCCTTGAGCCAGCTGTTTCTCTGAGTAAATCTGATGAAAAGGCGGCAAACGTCCAGGTGTTTATCGTGTGAATCATTGTTCAACGAGTCAGTTTTTCCAGAAACAACTCTTCTCATATCATTAGTCACATCCTTTTCACTCTCCCCATTTATCAGTTTCGTCATTCCTCCCTCGCTCCTTTTTCATTTTTTCTCATTGTCTTTTTACTTTTACTCCTTGTTTTGATTCACCTGATGTCTCTCCATGTACCTCTTCCATTTCCAAAACTAACAGGACCTCCCTGACCTCAGCTTCTTTCCTTTTCTGCTTGTTTAGAAAATATTTCTTTTATAGATCTCTTAGGGCATGATAATTTCACAACACCATCAATATGTGTCAAAATGAGCTAGCACCAGTGGAGGAAAAAGCAGCATAGAAAAATAATGCTTAACGGAAACTCAAGTTTCTGGTTATCTAGTTCTTCTACTTCTGAGGCAGAATCAGCTACACCTGCAACCTCCCTGATTGTAAAAAGTGCAAATAATGGCCTATCCCAGTCTCCATAGGTAACCCATTGGGGTACTTCCAGACATCTGCTCATTCACGTGGTTGTCCTCTGGATGCTGTTCAGTCACTCTCCACCTTTGCTGATGAGCTGTGCCCCAGATTCTCCCAGGTGAGACTTCCCAGTGCTGCTGAGGACAGGCTCTTACAAACAGTATTTCTTGAGCAATGCAACTCTTACCAATGCACTTATAAAGTATTTTCATGTTATCTTCATTGCATTGCTAGTTGCACTTCTGTAATTCTGATTTTGTCTACATTTGCCTATGCTATATACTCACCTTTAGTGGTGTAACCTACTTATGACTGTCTTTGTGCTTCCTTTGTGAGTTTGAAGACACTGAAGAGCTCTGATTTAACAAAGTTATTCTTACTACCCTTCCTAATACTACTTCTGCATTGGGACATATTATGCCCTTCATTTCAGTTATACAGAGACCTGGTCATTCCTG